TACTGACATTCTAATGCTGAGGCCCTGAAAAGTGGAGAGGTTGTAGTGCTGCAGGTGGGGGTGGGGGGTGGGGGAGGCTGTGCACATCTCAGCACACTCTACAGACTTCCTTAGTCTGCTTGGTGACAGATGGCAGCAGTCCATAGGGCAGCCTTGATGGGCTGGTGCAGACGTCCCATGGTCATCTTGTGTTTTGCTGCAATACAATGTGGGAATTGTGAAGGGGTGTGTGGGGGGATGTTCCTCTCCTTCATGGAGCAGCAGTGAGTCTCCCTAATCGGGGGGGAGGGAGGAGGAATGATGAGGATAATGTTATCTTCTAAGAGAAGCCACAGCTTGTATAAATATTCACTCTCCCATGAGAAACTCTCCTGGCAGTGATTTAACCCTGGTTGTTCCCAGGTTATTTTTCTTCTGGAGGAGCCATTTTTACTCTAGGAAGCTGAACGCACTCATGGTTTCTCTTGTGAGAGCAGCAAATCTCCCAGAAGAAATTGAATGTCTGTATGAGGCCATAAATTGACAAGTTCAATCTGTTATCAAGGCTGCTGATGTTCTGATCCCCTCATCCCTTATGCCTAAAATTATACAAAATCTTATATTAAAAAAGCATGATTACGGTTGTAAAATTAAGCACTTACAAGTGGAAATGCCAAAATTAAGTTTGCCTATGTAGTCTTAATTTGTCCTTAAATTGTACAGTATGTCCCTGCCAGCCTCAAGTCTCCTTTTCAGTAACTTAACTGATGGGGGGTGACTCGTGCAGTAGCCCCAGGTGCTGCCTTTGTGTGGGAGCACAAAAGCAGCTATTGCTGCAGTTGCAGCTGATTGCACTGTCACAATTGGGGTGGCTGGAGCTGGCACTGCTGCAGATGTAGATCCGCACTGCTATGCCTCTGTTCCTCTTCCTTCCTATGTCCATCCTACTTCCGTGCCCTCATTCTTGTCCCCTCTGTATTCAGGGCAGATAGCTGCCAGTACTGAAACCGCATATAGCCTGAAACAGCAGATAACTGCAAGTTTAAGAAAAGATTCTGCTGAAGCCTTGGCTGGAACATACTAAATGCTAACAGATTCTTGGAGGAATTAAGCTACAAAACTCTAGCAAGTCTCCAGTGACCATATATATATTGAAGTTTTACAAAGCTTATAACTTGTAAAATATGATAAATTTCAAGGAGCCTCCCCTGCCACCTCCACTGCTGCCACATGGGCAGAGCATGCGTCACCAGAGCAGCTCAGAGCTCACAATGGCAAGCAGCTTTCCTACATGGCCCCACTATGCTCTGCAGCATCGGGTTGCACCTGCTGGGCTGCAGAGGACCTGGGGGAGGGTAGCAGAACAGGGATCTGAGCCCAGAGCAGGCAGTGTGCAGCCTCTGCACCATGCACAGATCTGAGGGGCATGGGTCCCCCCTGACCCCTGGGAGTGTGCACAGCAGCAGGGAGCCAGCCCCACACCCTGATACCCAGGGGCCTTTAATTTTAATCATGGGGGTTTTTTTGTTTTTATCAGAGAATTTGCAATTATTTTTGATCAGGGAAAACCAGGCTCCCTGCTTATGAGTGGTGTTCTGGTTGGCATGAGAGTAGCATCAGGAGCAAATGTGTGACCATAATGCCAGCTGAATGACACTTGGCAGATACATAGCTGGATCATACCACATTAATGTTGCTTTTACTAAAGTTAAACTGAAGACATTCCAACACTTTTCCCAGTAGAGACTTTCCAAGCCCATTCTTATAGAATGTGAATTTTTAACATCCCTGCTCACATGTGCTTTTTGTTTTGATGTAAATTAAGGAGCTGTCATGCTGCTTCCAATTATTAGTAAGAAACAGAGTTTGGGGTATATGAAATGGAACTGGAAACGCTGCCAGGGAATTCACAGTGTTCCCTGATGGCAGCAAACGTTCAATTTTTTTTTCCTCCTGGAGCAAAAATGGCTGCTCTGAGAGAAAAATAACCCAGGAACAACCAGAGTTAAATCTTTCCCAAGAGAGTTTCTCCCGGGAGACTGAATGTCTGCATGCTTTCCCCTGGTTTAACTTGCCTTGGGGACCAGAAGGAGTGGAGCTTGGGAAAAGACTGGGGTCACCACTCTGGAGAAGGTGCAGAGGGCTGCTGTTCCTGCCCTTCCTGTAGACCAGGAGGGGAGGAAAGGAGTTGCCACCAGCTGCTCCCCACCTGCTTCTCATACTGGAGTTCTCAGTGTAAGAAGCTTTGTTGCATAGCCCCCGCTACTCAGCTGTTGGGCACTGGGAGCCAAGTGGCAGGGAGCAGCATATCCACTGCTCCCTGCCTCTTCCCCAAGCTAGGCACTGCCAAGCTTGGGATAGGGACTGGGGACGTTGTGCCAGTGCTCATTTCTCTCTGTTCCCAGAGACTGGGAGTGGAGTGGAGGAGGTTTCTCCCTGCCTGTTCCCTAGACCCTGGTCAAGGGAAGGCATGGGGAGTCTGTCCTTGCTACCACACTCCCCCTGGGGATCAGGAGGAGTGAAGCAGGCACACTGCTTCTCTCGCCTTCCCCACACCTGGATCACCCCAGCCTCAGGAAGGTACAGAGGCTGGGCAGAAAGGGCAGCTGAAGATTGAACATTGGTGCTGCTATTTCTGTCAGAATGTCTGTTCGTAGCTATAATCACATGACTCCAGAAGTTGCTGTGTTAGACGAAACCCCAAAATAAAGATAACTGGTAATACTGATATAAACCAGATCTGCTAAACACCACTTTTATAATAATAAAAATAAACACAAATGAATGAACAATAATATGAACAATAAAAAGCAGGTGTTAAAATTATGCATTTGTTAAAACCCCCTCAAACTGAATTTAGAAAGCAGATTTTTAGGTGAAAGCAGCTTTTTGATGTATACTAATCCATATATTGTTATCTATAATAAAAAAAAACTTTATTCACATATATATGCATTTGCATCCAACTAGAAAATTAATTTTGTAAAGCCTGATGTGTGTGCCTTCTTTCCCCTCACAGCTTTTTTTGGGAAATACCTCAATGAATACAATGGCAGCTACATTCCTCCTGGGTGGAGAGAGTGGGTTGGATTAGTCAAGAACTCTCGCTTCTATAATTACACCATTTGTCGGAATGGCAACAAAGAGAAGCATGGATTTGATTACGCAAAGGTATTTTCCAGACACATTACACAGTATCAAATGACTTCATCTATTTAAAAATATTTTTCTCTTTATTAATTAATAATAGCACCCAATATGTTTTCTTATGGTGCATTTAAGGTCAGTCTTTTGTCCTATTGTGGAATGGCCAAAAAGTTAAAACAGGTCTATAATTTAGTTGGTTGATTTCTAACCTTAAGGTAGAAATGGGTGGCTCTATATAAATAAATAAACAAATAAAAGACCTTTCTGAAGAAAATTTTGGCCTTATTCTACTGAACTCAAAGTTAAGACTACAGAGTAGCTGTTAAGACAATAGTTTTTACTCTCAGAAGGAAAGCTTAACTGGTGCTGTTTTCCATTATACAGTGTAAAAAAATGTGGCTGTGGTGTCAGACTCCAGATATGATAAGTTAAAAAAAAAAGAAGGGTTTGGAAAACTTCAGTCTTTGTTTGCACTCATGACAAAATCTGGAGGATATGCCAAGGTGACCAGCCCATTACAGTGAGATTTGTTATAAATGTTTAGTACTACAAATCCTAAAGTTTCCAGCCTACATAAAATGAATTGGAATTTCCTCAGTGTGTAGCTCACCGAAGATAATACAGATGTTGCAGCTGTGGTTTCTGACCCATGTAATGAGATTTTATTGGAAGCTCACAATAGCAGTTTCTGATTTACCCACCCACAGAAATTACATGTTACTGATTGCATAGAACATAAAGTGGAAAATAAAGAATTATTGGTTAGTCATGAATTCTTTATGTGCCCTGTGTCCATAGCAAGAGTGAACAATGTATAGGGAAACAAGAGGGAAATGGATGCTTTGGAAAGGCACTTATCCAGGCAGTGTTCTAATCTGGGTCTATTTCATACCAAAAATTGGTATGAACTCTGGTACTCTGAAGGGAAACCAAATTTTCACTGTTTTTGTAAACAAGTAATACTGCCTCCATCATATTGTTACAGGACCATGAACATTTAATTTAAAGCTACTGTATTGGGGGGAGTGGGGGGGAGGGGGTTCTGAGTGAGAAGGTCCCAGCTGGTTGGCTTGTCCTAACACTGACATGCATCACAGACCCTGTCCCTCAGGCACTGATTTTGCAGCTGTTCAGGGCCTTGAATCCACAACATGTGATTAGTCATGCCTGGAAGTGTTTGAAATTACAAACATTGTCTCAGCAGTTTCTCAGTGAAGCTCACACTAAACCTCCAGGCCAATGATGAATGCTTAGTGGTGGCAGGTGGTTTAATTTAAGTGTTCATCTTTTTTTCTTCTTTCCATTTCGTCCTTTTCCCTGTAGGCTTCTACTTGCCACCTTGACTGTGGGTTAAGCCAGTTTATTAGCAGCTCACCACCTTAGCCTCACCAGCTGCACTCCTTTAAGTTGTATAATTAAAAGAACCTGAGCCTGAAGGAATTCAGCTCCTCCCTATATATATGTTTGCCATTTCTTTGTTAAAGTTTTTCCTAGACAACTGTATTTTTGCAATATGTTAAGTGTTGTAGATTGCTCCCATGCAAATTTATATTTTAAAAAACACACACAAAGCCTTCAGGAGTAAATATGAGGCCATATTAAATGTGCATAGTTTTCTGTAGTTTGGAGTCATGTTTTGTCAAGACTTTCATCAACCAAATTTGAGAAATCTATATGTCTATGTTATCTGCTGCTTGTATGTTACAAAATGTTCTGTGGCCAACTTTGATGGTCATAGTTAACAGAACCTGTTATTTTCTGGATAAGAGAATTTTGCAAAATGCACTCCCATCTCATATTGTGCCTACTTTAAAAAAGTCATTAGAGCTTGGTTTCTCCTATGTCCTTCAGGCTCACATGTCTCTTCAAAGGTATGTTTTTACTTCCTGATCTAAGCTCTAGTGATAACTTGGAATACAGTGACTTAATAGACAGATAAGGTTCTTTGGGTAAATCTGATATCTGTTATTAGACCAATTCAGTTAGTTGGAAAAATTCTTCTTTGCAAGCTTTCTGGTACAAATACCCTTCATCAGGCTGAGGAAACATCTGCAAATTGTCTGTGTTCTTCCTGGATGGAGTAGTAAAGCAGCTAGAGGCCAGTACATATGCAAGAAAGCCAAGCAGTTAAAATGTAAATAGAATGTGATCTGGTTGATTATGTACTATATAACTTTTATTTTGTCTTAAATGTATGTTACAGGACTACTTCACAGACTTAATCACTAACGAGAGCATTAATTATTTCAAAATGTCTAAGAGAATATATCCTCATAGGCCCATAATGATGGTTATCAGCCATGCTGCCCCCCATGGCCCTGAAGATTCTGCACCACAATTCTCAGAGCTCTATCCAAATGCTTCACAGCACATGTAAGTAAAATTCAGACTCTTGTCAACACTGGCTATTTGTGTTGCCTCTCACAGATTTGTTTTTTGAGACACTGAAGAAAAATAGAATTCAAATGTAAGGAATCTATAAAAAGCTGTGCATATGAATGCTTTTTTGCTGGACTCACATTGTACTGATATTGTTGTTTTGTAGTTGCTAGTAACACTTCCGTGGTTCTTACACTAGAAACAGGCTGTTCTCTCTGGATAAGTGACATGAGTCTTGGTTCTATGGGGGCGAGGGGAGGGAGGAGGTGTTCAGCTTCTTACAGTACCCTGAATTGTGTGGACACTGATGGGAATGGAATCCAGAGTTGTTTGTTCATATTCCTCCAGGACATGTTTTTCCTGGGGTCTGATTATCTGAGTGCATTAATAATAGTAGAGCCCTTTAGTAGCTTTTGTGTAAATATATGCACTAGGCTTAACTAGAAACAGCCTGGTTTCCAAACAACCTGCCAAACTGTACTTTTAATAGCATATTGCTTCTTATTTTTAGTAGATAGTTATACTATTATGAAGCCTCTCTCTACTGTCCTTGATCCCAGGGCCAAGCCCAGTCATAGTGGCCATGTCTGCACCTTCTTTAATGCGCTGTAGTTACGGCGCATTACATTTAGTACTTGGATAGTTTAGTACAGGCAGTCCTTGGACTTACAACACAATCGGTTCTTGAAAACCGCATCTTAAGTCGAAATGTTGTAAGTTGGAACCAATTTTCTCACAAGAAACAATGTTAGAAATGGGGGATTGGTTGCTAAACCAAGGCTTGATACCCTATTTTCACCAAAAATACCCCAGAATTTTGTACTCGATCAATTATAGATGAGTAATATTAATGTATTTATATTGTAAATAACAATCATATTGATTTGGAAGTACTTCTTTGAGGTGACTTTGCTGGACTTTTTGAAAGGCTCTTGATTGGACTTTTTGAAGGGTTCTTGGCCAGAGTCTTCTCGGGAGTCTTGGCTGCAGGTTTTTCTGTAGTCTTGTCTGCTTTCTTAAAGAAAATGTCCAAGGAAGTTTGGACAGATGTTCTCCAGGGAGATGAGCGATGCAGCTAACTTGTTCATTGGCATGGTGTTGCATCAGATCAAGTGTTGTAAAGTCGAAACTGACGTTATAAAGTTGAAACAGGGTGTCAATTTATAAACATTGTAAGCACGAAAAGTTGTAACTGAAAACGTTGTAAGTCAAGAACTGCCTGTACTACTGTGTAGTACTGCAGGCACACAGGCAGTAACATATTAGTATAGTTTTTGCCCAGCACTCTACTGTGCAGTGTTATTAGGCTACTGTGCAGTTAGTATCTTGTGTAGACGTGCACAGTTACCAGTTCATTAAGAGGCTTCAGAGTTGTTAGAATTTGGGGCTCTGGGACAGTTCATTATTATGTATATTTTAATGTCAGGAGATTTTCAGAAATGTACAAGATGAGTAGAAACCAAAAATTTTCATTTTTCTTCTCAGTAATAACACAGGAGGAATCTCAGCTCTGTCTCCTGTTCTAAACCCTACCTCTAGAGTGTCCAGGGACTTTTTAATCATAGAATAAACTAAAGATTTTCATTGACTACGTGTGCTCTCATTCATGATCAAGCAAACATACTTTGGCATTCACAATCCCATGACACCTTTTGGCTACCAAAACTCAATGTTAGCTTTTGAAAATACAGAAGAGGAAATAACACAATATAGTCAGCCAGGTCTCCATGGAGCAAAATTGCTGTCTCTCTTATCCAGCAC